CATGGTTGACAGCTATTAAAAGAGATAATTTCACACCTACTAGTAGTTCTCGGGTAAGAAGTGCATTAAATATGCCTCAAAAAGGCCAAAGGCCAAAGCCTCTGTTACCCTAGTGAAGATGTAGTTATGGCTACTGCTTACACTTACAATTACACTTACTTTTTTTTACTACACACACTGCTTACAACCTCACTATAAGTAAAATATTGAAAGAATAATCAAGCTTTCTACATCAAGAAGATCACAGAAAGATATTGACAACATTGACATTTCAAAATATAAATGGTCTGGATGTAAGACTTTTTCACATATATCAGAATTTATTATTAAATCCATCTTGTTCAGAATATCCAATATTTTACTGAAGAACTATGCAAAAAAAGGAATGACGTCTTTACCACAAAGACAATGCCCTATGTAAAGAGAAAGAGTAAAGAAAATTAAGCTAAGCGTAAGTTTTACTTACGAACACCCAAAAAGGTATTTAGTTTTTTTTCTATATAAAATCTTGAAACACATATTATATTTTTTAGTTATCCTCACCTATTATAGTTTAAATTTATTCCCATTTGTGTAAAGCTGCGAAAAATATTCCATATTTTTTTACCCAAGCTAGTGTAGTTTATAATTCCAAGAGCATTTACCAAGGCTTTTACTAAGACAAGTAACTTCCTATACTGTCCATAATAGTATATATTTATCAAACGTGCAGTAAATTCTAAACTATGGTAGGTAAGTGTTTGCAATTGAATATTTAGTTTATATTGCTATTTTCTGTCATATATTTCTGGTTATTTCTTTTTCCTATGATTTTGATCACCCTATATATGCTACTTCTCTCTACCCTTTCTGAGAAAGCAGACCTTTTTATAAAAAGTAACTAACTGATGTTTTCATAAAAGTAATAATACAAAAAATTCCATACTTATGTGGAGACCTTTAGACTCCCTGTATATTAAAAAATTAGTGAAATATTACGTAATCTAACCCGACATTTGTGTGAAAAATGTCTATTTGGAAATAAAACAGGTTTTAAAATACGCGCCAAATAAAGCACTTCTATCTCCACCATATTGGAAAAGGTTGAATGGCCTTGTGTGGAGGTGGTGGTGGGTCAGCATGGTGGCCCGGTTGGCCGTGTTGCCGCTTTTCAACATGCCAGGTGTGACGTATTAAAAATAAAGTGCGGATTTTTATTCTGGGCTTTTTTGTTTTTATTTATTTTCTTAAGAACGACTTCAAATTTTTCGAAAGTGAGATAGCAGAAAATTCTAGAATTAATTGCTTTATTCAATTATGCTAATTCCAAAATATAGTGAAAGAGCCCATTGAACGAAATATTCTGAGAATAACCAAGAAAGACCGTAAAAGAATAGAGTGGAATAGTGCCAAAAGACCAAGATAATATATTGTGTCATCCACAGAATCAAATCCCTCAAGTAGTAATGGGCAGGACACCTGGCAAGAAGGACTGACCTCACATGGATCATGGATCACAGAAATTACAGCATGGTATCCACGAGGAATTAAGACACCTAGTCGAAGAGCAAATCTGAGTTGGGACCATGGTATTAGGAAATTAGCAGGGATAATTTGGGCTCGCATAGCCAACAATAGACAACAATGAGCCCGACTACAAAGAGAGTGTCTAAATATGTGAGGGAGGCTACACCATAATTGGAAATGGTTGAATAAGCTGAGAATGATGATGATGATGATGATCAGTGTTACCACCTTAGTTTTACCACTAAAGCTGGTGGTTTAGACCCAAGGATACTATAGCGACAAGGATTGTTCGATCCCTATACTTTCTATACTGTCAGTTTTTTCTGTGCTGATCGACGTCATCATAGTACACACACAATTTTTTTCTATAGTTTTAAGTTTTAAACATAATATATCTATATCATTTTACTTTAACTGTAGCTACAATTTTTGTACCAAATTGTTAAATCAACAGTGAGGATGTCACTTAGGAAGCCAACGTCAACATCATGGCCGAACAAGAGGAAAAGCTTTTGTATTGTTGAAATTATAAAAAAGCATTCTTTATGAAAAGTTTTGCTTGTTTTAAAATAGTTAATCCTGTTTATACTTTTTCAAATTTCTGAAATGAAAATATTGGTGAATTTTTTCTAAGCCTTAAAAATAAAAAGGCGTTTCTATGGTAATATCAATCCGATTTCATTCTGTGATAGATGGTTATTATTAATGTTGATTGACGTCATATTTTTTGTTATTGTTAAAGTATTAGATTTTCCGATAACTATCATCACCCCATCACCCTTTCCGTAGCTTTGACTAAATAAATGTTGTGCCTCTTTAACATTTTAAAACAATAAATTAATTAATAATAATAATAGCTCCCGTATATAGCGTTTAACGCGTTGGGAGTAGCAAGGTACAGTTTACCATGCTAGAGCCGCTCGGTATACAAGGAAGGTAGTGTGACTAGCACTGCTCTTCAACCGCCTATTATTACCTCAGGATTGTGAATCCCAAGTAACTCGTTTAAGGCTGAGTCGACCTAGGTACCCAAACTATTTTTATTTTAATAAAAATAGACCGCTGATGAAATGCCGGCTGTAGGATTAACATTAATAATGAAAACGAAATTATATTACCATAGAAACGCGTTTGATTTTTGGGACTTTAAATTCAAAAAAACTCAACAATCTTTTCATGTTTTTCTTAATTTTCTCTAAAACAGTATGGAAATTTGGTAAAGCATAAACACAATTCGAATGTTTATGAAGAATGAATTTTTCTCAAAATATCAATAATAAAAAAGTTTTTCCTCTTGTAAAGACAATCCGGGGACATACTGTAGAGTGCCATGGCTGTGTTAAAAACACTAATTTTTAATCAAGGATCCTTGGAAAAATTAATTGTCTATTGTTTTTTGTCTGTTCCGATAAAGATGCCCAAATCGTATTTTTAATCATATCTCAATTTTTTCAAATGGAACGAAGATGGCTCATTATCATAGTTAGAAGAAGCATTTTTTACGAATAGTTCGTTACCAATATATACCGTTACCGTATTTCGAATCAAATTGTCAGATGTTAAAAAACTTAAAAACTAAACAACAGATTTTTATTAACTTTTTTTAATTGTTAAACTATAGGTACAGGGTGGGTCAAATTCGACGCTTTTAAATGGAAACACCATTTTTTATAGGAGATAGACGAAAACTAATATCAGTGTCTGGAGCTCAATTTTCATCAAAAACATGATGGTGAAAACCGCACATCAATATCTGTTATCGTTTCGGAGTTACGGGGTGTTTTTCAAAAATGTGCATTTTTAACAAATCGCTGTAACTTTTTTGCTATGGAAAATTTTGTATTTCTATGAAAACATTTCCAAAGCACCTTTTTACATAGAATTTAATGGTTTGGAGTTATCAACAGAAAAATTGATTTTTATTTGGGACACCCTCTATATTTTTAATTAACTGTAAAGAATTTAAAATTACCTTTCCAAAAATATAGCACACTTGATATAATCCCCTTCGAAATACAGAATTTTTAAAAGTTCGCCACTTTTAACTAGTAGGCTTTGGACCCCTTATTGATGATATGCCCTTAATGGAACTCGAAAACGTATTTTTCCAGCAAGACGACGCACCGCCTCTGAGCGCTGAAGTTATCATCAATTTTTTGCAGTCAATTTCAAGAATAATTGAATAGCTAACCAAGATCGCAGCCGTTGGCCGTCGAGGCCGCCTGACTTAGTGCCCATGGATCTAATCCTATGGATATATTTGCGGAAGAATAAAGGTTCCTTATTCTTCTGTATAATCTAGACAAGAATTAGAAATACTTAGCAGTTATGAGAGGATATCTTCCACCCTCACTGAGTTAATTAATTCCGCGAGAAATGTTTAAAAACTGCCCCGTCTGTCCATAACAGAAGACGGTTGGTATGTAGAACACCTGTAGCAAAATCTCATGTCTTGGTTTGCTATTTATTTTTATTGTTATTAGATATAGTTTAAATGTGTTGATATTGGTTAAATATATTTTAAATTGTTATAAAATTCTGCATCTCTTATAGCAAATATTATTTTCGTTTTAATTGATGCTCACAGCTAGAATTTTTTTGCATTACAGCTGGTGCCGTTCAAAGCCTACTTATTTAAAGCGGGCGAATTTTTATATACTCTGTATCTCGAAGAGGAATCGAGCAAAATTTCAAGTGTCTTATATTTTTAAAAAGGTAATTTTAAATTCTTTTCAATAAATTAAAAATATACAGAGTGTCCCATATAAAAAATAACATTTTCTGTTAATAATTCTTAAATTATTAATTTAAAAAAATATATACTTAAACCATTAAATTCTACGTAAAAAGGTGCTTTGGAAATGTTTTCATCAAAATACAAAATTTTCCATAGCAAAAAAGTTACAGCGATTTGTTAAAAATGCATATTTTTGAAAAACACCCTGTAACTCCGAAACGGTAACAGATATCCATATGCGGTTTTCACCATCATGTTTTTGACAAAAATTGAGCTCCAGTCACCGATATTAGTTTTTGTCTATCTCCTATAGAAAAGGGTGTTTCCATTTAAAAGCGTCGAATTTGACCTACCCTGTACATACACAGGCAACTATATCCCTAGTACAATATTTAAATATTAAAATCGCAATCGCAGGTTACAGTCGCAACGATTTAAAAATCGCAATCGTCGTTTTACTCATCTCTAATATCCCATCAAAAAAATTAAAAAAGAGCAACACCTTTGAGCAATACAATTAAAAAGGCTATTAATAAGTAGAAAACACGTTTGAAAACGTCACAAATATCGTTTTTAATTTTTTCTTTTAAATCGAATTATTACCAAAAAATTATGACACAAAACACACAGAACCGGGCCTTTTAATTGATGGTTTTCCTTCCCGCGAAATACCATTGACGTCACGCGATTCCGATGGTACCACGTTGAAATAAGGTACGTTTCGATGTGGTACCATAGTGGGTTTATGCCATGCGCGACTTTACGACTCGAATCTAGTAGAAATTGAAAGTACTTCGCGGGCCATACCGCTTGAATTTCTCGACTAGGTAGTACCGTCGCAAAAACTCTTCTCGAAGACGATGAATGAATAGATTTTTGTCTCTTCATTTGATCGAAAATTGTTACAGTATAGTGACTCATATTGAACATAAAATATTCAGAAGGTTCACAAAGTAATTGGATAATTATAACCAGTGCGCGAAACTCAAGTTTCTTCAACCAGATCTTTTGAAGATTTTTGAAGAGTAAGTAAACAACCAATTACTTCCCTTTAATTAACTTAAATTGTATTAATTTTCTACCTAGTAGGTATACAACTGAAATTGAAATTGATATGAACATTTAATTGGAGGTAGAAATTATTATTGCGGCAATAAGCGCAAGATTCTTGAAAATTATTTCTGTAATACTTATATAAACATCAATTTTGAAACTAGTTCATGCCTTACATACGTTTTACCATAAAATAAAACGTTAATGTTATTAACAGACGTAAATTATTATGATCTGCTGGTAGATGTAATTTTTCAGGTTTTTACTAGTTTGATTTTATTAGAAATTAATTAGCGAACTTTGTATTTTGTCGCATCTTCGTAATATACCGGGTGCGTCTCAAAACCTATAGTGTGGCTCACCCCTATAACTTTTTTCTTTCAGATAAAAAAACGAGATTTCGTATGCTAGTATATGACATAAATTGGGATTGATTGACGCATTCAATTGTTGGTCACTTCCTGTTTCACCGGAAATGACTACAACTTTTGATTTTTAAATAGCACCCTGGTATATTTTTTGCTTTCGATAGAAAATGATATTCTGAATAGAATGACGTATCATATGTCAACTTTTGACATTCTTGCCTAATAAAAAATTGTATTTTAAATTTCAATCTAGAGTGCCATGGCTATGTTAAAAACACTAATTTTTAATCAAGGAGCCTTAGAAAAATAGATTTGATCGTCTAATGTTTTAGTGTCTTGTTCTGGCTGGTTAAAAAATGCCCAAATCGTATTATTAATCATATCTTATTTTTTTTTAAATGGAACGAGGGTGGCTCATTAGCATATTTGAAAAAAGCATTTTTTTACGAATAATTTGATACCACACACTTAGTATTTCGAGTCAAATTTTCGTTACGAACCGCAAGTTATAATTTCAAATAAACCAGATGAGAAAATGTCAAAAGTTGACATATGACATGTCATTCTATTCAGAATGTTATTTTCTATCGAATAAAGTAAAAAATACTTAGGGTGCCATTTAAAAATCAAAAGTTGTAGTCATTTCCGGTGAAACAGGAAATAACCGAATACAATTGAATACGTCAATCAATCCTAATTTATGTCATATACTAACATACCAAATCTCGTTTTTTTATTTGAAAAAATAAATAAAAAGTTATAGGGGTGAGCCACTTTTGAGACGCACCCGGTATATGAACTTGTTTTCTCTCATTTATGAGTGTTGTCTTTTATATTTTGCATATAGAAGTGAGAAAAAAATTGTCTGTGCACTATGTGCGTCTACTTGAAGCAAAACTTCTTCTTATTTCTATCTGTCCGTCTGAGGACTCCATTCGTGTACCACGTATCCACGTGCCGAGTTTGGTTCCATTCGACCCATAATTAAGAGAAAAATCCTGATTATTTCCTCCATTTAGAGGCATCGGTTCCAAACGTCAAGGGCGTCACCCTGTAGCCCGTCCCTAATTATGCTGAAATTGGCCCACATTTTTTTTCAACATCAAATCCTTAGTCTCACCCTGATGAAGATGCAAACGAAACGTCATATCCAACTTTACAGGGTGAAACCGTGTGCACCGACGCTCACATAACCTACCCACCAGATTTGGTCGCGATCGGACGACATCAACTTTTGACGTTTTTTTACGTCAAAACTAACTGTCACAGTGACGTGTCGTACACAGTCAAGTTGGCCTTGGTCTAATCTATGGACATATCAAATTTTATTTAAATTGGACGATTTTTTGATTTGATGATGGGGTTTCGTAGTACACGAAATATCGTCACAATATCATGAATAGATGGGGAGTTACGATGCGACGCTCCAAGATCGTTATCATTTTTGTGACCCTTGGCGACCTTAGCGTGACGATTCGCTAGCTCGTGTGTCACGGTAACTTCTTTACTTCAAAAAACAGTAGATAATCTTTAAACAGTATCGTTTTTCGATATATTCTCCACGAGAAGAAATGTATTTTTGCATTCTTTGGAACCAATTCTGAAAAGCAGTTTTTCCACTCGCTTGTTGCTACCTTGAAAATTGCGTTTTTGAAGGCGCTGACCGCATCGTCTTGGGACTGGAAGCACCGAATATATACAGCGTGAGTCTTAAATAAGTGCAAATATATTTAGGGCTAGTAAATCTCGATAAAAGTAACATATTTTCTCTTTTCCGTTTTTCCAAAATAACCGAGATATTTTACTTTTAAAATTTCAGAGGAAATGATTTTTCCTTAAATTTTGAGAACCACTAGATCTTTTCTGTTTTTTTTTTGTCAAAATATAGTACCCCTAAGAATATTTGCACTTATTTCAGACTCACCCTGTATATATTCTATGCTACTACCTATGTTGCCATATTATCAAGAAAGTATCGTGTTTAACTAAAAACTAATAAAAATTCCAAACTTTTTTCTAGAAATTCTTTATTTTTTTTTTTCGCGAAAAAAACTCATAATCGTGTTTCAGGAGTCGAAATATAGTACCCCTAAAAATATTTGCACTTATTTAAGACTCACCCTGTATATATTCAATGCTACTACCTATGTTGCCTTATTATCAAGGTATTATAGTTTTTAACTAAAAACTAATAAAAATTTCATACTTTTTTAAAAAAATTCTTTAATTTTTTTTTCGCGAAAAAAACTCATAATCGTGTTTCTAGAGTCAAAATGTAATATCCCTAAAAATATTTGCACTTATTTAATACTCAACCTGTATATATTCTGTGTTGGGACCTTTGACCACGCATTTCAGTCTTAATTTTTGGAAAAGTAATAGTGTCGTTAGGACTTAGGTCGGGACTGTATGGAGGATGGTCCAACAATTTCATGTTTTCTTGCTGTAAAAACTCTATTGTTTTTCGAGCTGTGTGGAACATGCACTGACTTTGTGGAGGATCATTCGTCGTTGAGTATTGGGTTTTATTGGGTTTTTGAAACTACAAAATTTCAGGGATTTGATTCTGTGGATGACATCTATTACCTGGGTCTTTTGTCGTATCCACTCTATTATTTTACGGTTCCTCTTGGTTATTCCCAGCGTAATTTCGTTCCATTGAACGTTGTACGCCCTGCAGTTTTCCTGTGATGTCCGTGTATGAGTTTGTTAATATATTTCTGATTTTATTGTTCCATAACAAAAAAAATCCTAAATCTGTAAATTTACATTTCTTTTTTTTTGGGATATAAATTATTAAATGGACTATACCAATGGAAGAACTTTATAGCCGCCAAATTTTAAATGAATACATAATATCATTGGCCCTAAAGGGTACAGAGCGAGGGGTGTCTCACTATTGGAATTACCTGTACATTTTCTTAGCAGTCGCTGGCAGTTATTGGCAGTCTTATGGCAGTCACCTATAATAATTACATGGCAGTCATAGGCAGTCTTCTTCATAGTCATTGGCAGTCGCTTAGCAGTGGAAGGATATTTTGGCAGTACGTGTACATTTTTTAACCGAGTGAGACACTCCTCGGTACAGAGTGACTAGAGTGACTAGAGTAATTAAAAAAAAAACAAATATTTAATAGTACTTTACTATCAGAATATAAACGAAAATAAAATAAAAAAAGTATTTGTCCTGACCCGGATTCGAACTCTGAATCATCGGTTCGTGGTCTGAAACTCTACTTACTGCGCTATGGAGACACGTTCGATTAATATTCAATACTAGAATTTAAAGGACTAATAAAAATATAGGATCTTCTTTCAATGCGCAGTAGAGAACGCAACGTTTACCGGCAGCCAGACGGGCCGCATGCTGTTCTAGAGAGCATAGTAAAAGATATATCAAAAAGCCAGACGTCTTAAAATACTTGTTTTTTCCGACGTTGCTTATAGCTCTCGTACTATAAGGTTCTGAAAAAAAAAGAATTATTTCTATATTCTAAAAATAGTACCCACTGTAGTTAAATTATGGTGCGATAATAATGTTCTGCAAAAAAGTTGTACCTAGTGTCATAATTAATTATCGTAATATTACAAAAAAGGTGCTAATAGTTTATTGACATACAAAAAAGTTAAGAATGGAAAAATTATCTGAAACAAGATTTCAGATATATTTCAATGACCTACTTCGATGGGTTTTTATTTCATCCTGTTGTACAAAGTTTAAGTTTGCTTAATTGGTACACATATAATTCTCTAGACTTTTATGTATATAAGATGCATATAGGCGTTTTACATATCCGACATGGAATAGAGAGTTAGGCATAAAACAATCTTTCGATTTATTCGCAAATAGTCAAATAGATATTTCTGAGAAATTTGTCAAAGGATGTTGAATGTTTAACAATTTCTTTTTTATTTTGCTTAAAGCTTATGGGAAGGGTGAGTCTTAAATAAGTGCAAATATTTTCAAGGCTGATAGATCTCGAAAAAAGAAACATATTTTCTCTTTGCCGTTTTTCAAATAAGTTCAAAATAACCGAGTTATTTAAGTTTGAAAATTTAAAAAAAATGCTTTTTTTGAGAAAATTTTGAGAGCTACCGGATTTTTTCTATAATTTGTTCCTCTAATTTTAATCTATTACCGATGTTGTCACGTTTTTAAGATATTATATTTTTTAACTGGAAAATTAAAAAAAAAGTTTCACCTAAATGTTATTTATTACACGCCTCCCACAGGGTATTGCAAAGACACGTTTGTTGTTTAATTATTGTGTTTGCAGTTAGCAGTAACACAAAAGATTACATATTAAGGTTTGGTTTGGTTTGGGTAGCACTGTTATCGAAGTAGACCGAATTAAAACCAAGAGTTACAGACATAGAGGATTTTTGGCATTACTCACCCTTGATATAAGGAACGCTTGGCTCCATGGCTGGGCAATGCAACTCAACTAGAGTATAAGGGAATTAGCCCATATCATGTACGCATAGTACAGTCGTTCCTGTCACATAGATATGTCATCACAGAGTAAGGCGGGAAACAAAGAATGACGTGCGGAGTCCCTCAAGGTTCGATCCTCGGACCCATCCTCTGGAATATATTTTACGAT